GGCGGGAAGGTGCCCAGGTCATTCAGCTCCGCGTCGGCAGGAACACGCTGCGCTTCCCCCCGCCGCCGGCACACGCAGCTGGAAGTAAGCGTCTGCGCGGTGCTGGGGTGGGGGCACAAAGTTGAGGTACCCACATTGACGATTATTATTTTAAAGCCTCTGTGCTTATTTGGCACCTTACGCTGCCCCTCCAGTTTAATTGCAGAGCAAGGAAAGGGGACCCAGTAGTTTTCATGGTCCTTATATCATAATTACGAGTTTCTGAGAGCAACTCCAACTCGATGTTGGCAACTCCTTCACTTCTGAGGAGAAATGAGCAGGCAGAAAATCTGAAACGGCAAACTCCCCCCATATCCTGTAAATTACAGTTTGACTAAATGGTCTTGAGAAATACACTCAACGGAGCAGTACAAAAGTACTGGGTCATGGGGCACTTCAGCTGCTGCATTGTCAACAGCTTATTTTGAGAGCTCAGTTTATGTTCTTAAAAATTGCTTAGGCATCATAATGCCATCGTGCTTCACACCGAGATCCAGACAGTTTTCATAAACTGTTTCTTTAATTTTAAGACTAACTGGTAAGGTTCAGGTATTCAGAGTAATTCTCTGCCAGCAACCAGGGCACATTTCTCTTTAGGTCTCCAAAATGATCAATTTTGCAAAGAGCACAGCTCACTGGCGTTTTCTCAGGGGCGGTGGTAACTACCATTATCACAACAGGACCTGTGCAAACCTGACTTTTGCTTTGCTGCAGACCTCCAGGTAAAAGGAAAAACCCAACATACTCCTGGAAATCACATCAGTGATTCAGTATGTGACATTCTTCTGAGTAAGTTTTAAGCTCATTCCTAGCATAGAGCTTGGAGGTCACTGTGGTTTAAGAAACACAAATACATTAATATATATCCAAGAGCACAGGTCACGTGGTCTGTGATATTATCGTAGCAATTATGTTGTTAAACCAATCTCCTGGCTGAATTCTACTTCAGAGAACTACATCCCAGCTATCTTTGCTTTTTCTTTAACACATTTGCCTTGAGAAGTTCATGTGCATACATACACACACAAATAAATGGAGGTTTGACAGACGGAATACTCTCTACCTTTGTGGTCAGAAGGTAATCCATATGTAAATCTTACAGTACACAATCTCATACAAAAATTCAATTGTAACTTAAATGCCCACACAGCAGTCTGACATACTGATCCTTGAATGTGATATTCTTCAGATGAAATGGTCTCCTACTGTAAAGTAGATTCATGCCTGTTTTGTGTCCTCAGAGGATCAGAGATTTGCTCCATGGAAAGGCAAGATATTTCTTCTGTTCTCGGAGCTTCGATCAGTAGATGATTACTTTAAAATATAACTTATAATCTGAAGGAGCCATGCTAACAGAGTTGCAAGATGATGATGGCTAGGATGGGCCATATTGCTCCCGAGAGAACATGCCCAGCCAGGCGTTTTTAAACTGTTGTGCTCAGATTCTTGGAAGATCTTGCAACAATAGTAACTTATAAATTGGATTTTACCATTGGAACCAAGTGAAGGGACGAACTTACTGCCTCAGCGCAAGCCGGATCT